TATGCCCAATTTTCAAGAATGTGCTTCCATCAGCTTCCTCAACTTAGCGAACTTTTCAGAGCTACAATCAGCAAGAAGGTTGCTGATCATCTCAAGAGAACCTCTTGAGCAACAAGCAGTACAGATTTCAATCAACTTAGTCCACTGCTGATATCCTAACCATCATTACTCACAAAATCAGTGAGGTACTAAACAACACATTTCAAGGATGATCACATTAGATATTCTAAAGGCCTTTGACAAAATGTGACAGACAGTTACTGCACAAACTCTCTAGCTATGGAATCACTGGAAGAATCAATTATCAAGTCCTTCCTAATGAGTAGGTTCCTGAATGGCCAGTCCTCTAAGGCCCAAATGATCAACACAGATGCACTATGGCTCACTTCTTGGTCCAACCCTCTTTCTAATTGAGCTGCCTAAGAGTATACTCCAATCATTGGTGAATATTTATGCTGATGATAGAACAGTATATGGGTTCACCTCCAAAACTCTAGATGATCAGAGCCTGGCAGCTGATCTCTCCTCTGATCTAACTTTAACAGCTCAGTAGATGGGTACTGGCTGAATACAACCAATGCCTTGAAAACCAAGCTAGTGATGTTCAATCATCACTGAGAGGTGCATTGAGAGCCTCATGGGACTTAATCTCAACCCAGCCCTCAAGTGGAACACATACATACAATCCATCACTAAAGATGCTTGAAAAATGGTTGGTTCCTTGTACCATTCCAGTAAGTACCTGACTCCTCTTGCTATCCTTGACCTTTTCAAGAGCGAGATCAGGCCAAAAACAGATTATTGCAGCCATATAGTGGCAGAAACTATCCAGTCTTTAATTTCCACTCTCAATAGAGTACAAAGGTATCTCTGCATCCTTGTGGGTAATGAATTATATTTCATCCTACAACGTCTCCCACAGACAAAATGTTGCAAGACTCTTTTTGCTCTATTACGCTTTCGATGGAAAGTGTTCAGATGAATTACATTCCTTAATTCCACCAGTTCTAACATTTACAACTATGACCCAGCATGCCACGCATATTGAAGCAGACAACCCTCATACACTTTGTATTCCATTGATGAGATGTTAAGTTCAATTCTAGCAGCTCCTTCCCATGAATCACTTCTTTGTGGAACTGAATTCCAACAGGATGCTTCCCTGATCACTATAATCTTAATCTGTTCAAACATTATCTTCACCGCATAAACTGTGCCTCTTACTTAAAAAAGAAAAAAAATAGGTGGTGGTTTTGGAAAATTTGACACTTACAGGACATATTGAAAAGTGGAGGAAACTATCATACCAACAAGATTATGTAAATGGATGGCAGAATGGAGAGTGGGAAGGACAGTAAAAAAAAACAAACATTACCTCACCTACAAAGGACAGGAAGTTATGGAGAGTCATGATTGCCCATGTCCAGAAGGGACACAGTATATACAAGATTTGAAAAAACTTTATGCTCAGAGAGCAAGAAAAAAGTTCAATGAAATCATTGTTTCTATAAGCATTTCTAACGAGATCATTGCCAACTCTACTGATATTGTTTCTGACTCTCCAATCCAATTGTGCAATTAGTATAAAGTCCAATAATATGATGAATATGAAAATTACATTAAAAAAAATAATAAAAGCCTGTTAGGAAATAATTTAAGCAGAGCATATTCTGCATATTTTATAGTGATGGTGAAAAGAACACAAAATGGAACCAATTCATTTTGGCACCAAAATAAAAAAGATTTTCTGTAATAAAAGCAGAAAAAAAAAAACAACTTTTGCACAGAGGCTGGCATCAAATATCATGACAAACAAAACATTATATCAGGAAATCTGAAAAGAATTTGTTTATACAAGGTTTCTTCACAGGATTCATTTAAAATATTTCCATGTCAGGAATTTTAAAGACCCACCCCTGATGAAACAAGCAGAGAATTTGCTTGGCTCGTTTGGTAAACAAAATAAATGCTTGAAAAGAGTTAAATTCAGAGGCAACAATTAAAGATTTAAAAAAAAAAAAAAAAAAAGTTCAGGCAGTACAAAAACAGATAAGTTTCAAATTCTGAGAGGAGTTAGTAGCATTATTGCAAAAGTTAATCTGTTGATTTTTAACATTTTGGTTGATGCATTCTTTGGCGTTCCTCTTATTCATTTATTTTTTGTTTTAAATAAATGATAGGTTTTGGGTGTGTACAAAGATGCTGACAAAAGCAATCCAAAATAATGATTTTGTATATCCAGAATACAACACTGTCTTGAAAAATAAAATGAAAATGAGTTTTCTTGGTGGGGGGAATGGGAGGGGAATTGAAGACCCCCCGCCAAAAAAAAAAACAAATAAAAAACATGACTTATTGCTGGCACAAAGACTTCACAGGTGCATTAAATATAAAGAAATTCAAAAACAAAAAGAAAGATGGCTGCTCATAAGGTCAATAGTTAAGAATGTTACATTCTTGCGAATATGAGATTTTTCCAGTAACATGTGAATTTCCTACTGTTGAAAAGAATATAAAAATCACATTACCGATAGAGAAAGGGGGGGGGAATTGTTTTAGATTCTACAATCGTTGCATAATGTAGGTTTTTTTGCGGTGGGCAAAGGAGATCAAGAAGAGGAAAAAGATTTATTGTTTCCAAAGCAAACCTCAAAGAAATGACAAGACAGTCAAATTCATTCTCTTACAAGTGAACACAAACTGTATTGTCTTTGTTCCAGACAACTGTGTAAACTTTCCCTCTTTGTGCAACGGAGATGGACTGTCACTTAAAATAGAATCCCCTTTTTTTCTACACCAACAAAATAGGGAGAATACATCAGCTTTAACAACCCTAGGGTTTATTTTTTGTCTGAATTTTTTAAATTATTTTTAAATACATCTGAATATACAGGGTATTTCACAATTGTTGAAACAAAGCAGCGGTCTCTCAGATGGAGAGAGCTTGAAGAGTGTAAGGACCTTGATGAGGAGGAACAACTTCTCACACTGCTAATGTTACAGTAGCACCGTGAAAAGTTTGGGGAATGTCTCATCAACTACAAAGCTGAAGTGGAATAGGTATCTCACTTGCCTGATCTGAACACCAAAAATTTCTTCCTCTGAGGATTCCTAAAGGACATCTATCAGGGCAATCCTCATACCATTAAAGGCAGCCATCACTGAGATTCAAGCGATCACCCAGGAGGATGTACATGCATTATCAACAACTTTGCATTAAAGAATGCCTTCAACTGAATGGCGGACATCTGAAGCATGTACTCTAGGGCTCCTTTTGACATTTTTGGTTCATGTTTGAGACTAAATAGTTGTAGATCCAAAAATGTTATCCTTTTACCTTTCAATAAATGTAATTTCCATTACTCTTATCATTTGTGGTCCTTGATTTGTGCCTGATCATTTTGTTTTAAAAATTGTGAAACACCCTGTATACAATGTTTGAGTGTTGGAGCCAAACTATGTTTAAATGGAAAAAAAGCCACCAGTCTCTGATCAGTTTTGCTTTTCTCCTGGATAAGATGGGCAACTGGGTAAATGTACCCAGTTACCTTGAGAAAACCCCCCAAAAATCTGTAATGTTATCGTTCCTGGTCTGAAATCTTGGATTTGATCACTTGCCCACCACCGTTGCATCCTGCTGTTTTGCACCATTTCTATATTCTCATAGCAAATATTCTTTCCCCTTTGGTACCACAACTTCATGAATTTAAGCACAGTACTTGATTGGCAGCTAGGTCTCATAATTTCATTGTTGAAATTGCTAGATGTAACCCTAGCTTCTATTCAAATTCTTTCTTTTCTTGCACTTCTTGCCTGTGCATATCTCTTCTCTTCCAGTTTCTTGATTTCCCGATAAACACAATCTTCAAAAATTTAAATGCACTGTAAATCATTAACCCCCCTCTCTCTGAAGCCTGTTCTTTTTATTACCCTTTCTACTCAATAACATTTTTTGCAGTTTCTTTCACTCTCAGTAACCCCTTGCATCTTAGTGGCTTTTATCACCTTAGTTGGTATGAAATGATTGAGGAATATCATGCTGAGAAATACAGAGTCCTATAATTGATGTCAAAAATACTTTGTTCCATATCCCATTCTTCAATATCAGTGAAGACCATGCACACACTTCATGACTAGTCTTTTATAATGACAGTTGTATCTAGAAGACTAGGACAACGATTGCATGATTGGTACAAGAATGGTTTCAGAAACTCAAAGAAAATTTCAGTGCCACCAAAACTTCCCAAATTTAAATGCCATTGTACATTTATTGAATGCTTGACGCACAAGTTTGTGTAACAGAACCATGACTATGTGACTAGCAGCAGTTAAAAGACCTGCTGACATTAGATCTCAAAAGATTGATCGATTCATTATTTACAGTTTATCAATCCTTATGTAAAACCAGAAAATATTTTTAGATTAAAAAAATTTTTTTTTTTTTTTTCAAAGAGATAATGATTTAGTGATACAAGTTTTACTAATTAACCCTTAGTGAGGGGGATGAAGAGATGGATTCATACCTCATCAGAATCTGATAAATAAATTATGTGGATATAAAGTGGGGGATCAATTCTATATTAAAATCAATATATAAACTGATCCATCACTTTGTGGCCACAGTAGTTTCTGTACATTTACATTTCAGAGAATGTAAATAAGTCTGACATGCCTGTGTAGCTAATTGGTATTTTGATTGATTTTTTATGGCTTATCAACGCTTTGCAGGCTATTTAAAGCCAGAAAATATTTTTAGATTGTAAGAATTTTTGAGATATTACACTACCTGCACATCCAAGCTTGAAACATTTTTTTTTAAATAATGGTTTAGTGATACAAGTCTTAATTAACTCATAGCTGGGGGGAGAAGAGGTGGATTCATACCTTTCCCAAGGATATTTGCATGTAAGTAAATATAATGAACCCAGTAACAATTGGAACTTGGTTCTCTGATTAACTATTCAGAGCCATTATTCATTACATCATCTGCACATTCAAGTTTACAGCACCTGGTATTCCCAAGTAGTCACTCATCCAGGTACTGACCAGGCTCAACATTGCTTAATTTTGATGATCATTTGGGAACCAATGTTTCAACATGATATGGCCATAATCCTTAGATCCCAGAAGAAACAACCTTTAGAAGTCTTATATAACTGGGTTGTGGGCACGCTGAAGACAAACACCTTACAAGGCAACTGATCCTATTTTCACATACCAATACATGACAGGTAAAAGGTTCTTGACATGACTACTTCCAAAACTTTCATCAAAATGACCAAACATCCAAATTTTGGTAGAAAAGGCATTTTGGTGGAGACAAGAATTTTTCAGCACTACTATATATTTTTCTGTATGTAACACTGAGCACAGATACTACAACTTGATCTTAGGCTGAAAGACTAATCTTTATATAATCTTTATATAAATAATACCATCATTTTTCTTCGAGAGACTATGATAAAAGCTGGAAGATATAGGGACATTGTCAAAAAAGACTGTACCCATCATGATTGGCATGCTTGAAACTGCCCAAATAAGATTTTCAAAGAAATTGGAAATCTAAAGAAAATTAAAACTATTCAAATGGCATTATTTACTAAAATTTTCAAGAATAGTAAGACCTGCCATCCAGTGACGGCCACCAGTTGCAACTGGCATAAATAAATGTAAATGAAATGTGAAATATTTGACAGTTAGGAAAAGTAAAGAATTAACTTTTTATCAGCAAATGAATACTTACACATAGGTTAGAACTTGTGCAAGATCAACACATTAAAATGGAAATAAACTAGTCTTACCTGCAAAAGAAAGAAAAGAAAAACATTTGTAGATTTTATATCATTTAATTGACAGGCTGGATTTTAAGAATTAAATTTTCTTTTTAAAGAGAAGATTGCAAAATAAATAATCATTCTGAAAAAAAAAAGTACATTTTTATGTATACACATCAAACATTGCAAGATGGTTAGAAAAAAGAAAGAAAAAAGAGAGAGAGAGAGAGACGCAGCATGAAATTTACTGTGTATACCAACAATTTTAAAAAGGTTTTACACTTGATTTTTAGCCAAGAAATGATTAATTATGACTTGTGCTTATGTTGGTTCCATTTTTTTAAAAAATAATCAAGGGAAAAGATAAAGCTAATAAACATATTTCAGGTGCACAGCTCTTGTTAGAAATCCTCACCACCCCTGTAGAGCCTATAAATGGGTGCTTCAAGCACCAAAGACAAAATATTTATCATATTTTTATGTCAATTTATATGGCAACATTAGTCAAAAATATTCTATACTCACATTGTACCAACAAAAAAATAAAACTATTATGTATGAATAAATCATACAAACATACATACGGCAAACAAAAAAAAATGTCAAATTAAATGAATTTTGCTGACAACTGTCTACAATTACTATTTCTATTTTTTGAAATAATTTTAAAATAATACAGCAGTAAAACTGAGGTAGCAGCAGTGATATTACCACCAAAGCAGCAGTTTCTTACCTCCAGTTAACACACAAACTCAGTAGAGCCCATTTTGTGGTTTGATACATATTTGTAAAACCCCTTTCCTCTGTTTGCCAGTGACAATGGCTTTTATACAAGATTACTATTCAAGTATTTGAGTGTAAGCGTTCTGGGATTGCAAAGGAAATATTTGTCACAGATTACTTCCACAACGCAGAGAATAAATCACTAAGTTCAGACTCGAATATCGGGGGCAGAAAGAAATGCTGAAAACTCAATTTGCAGGTACTATCTGACAAATCACAATGCATGTAACCAGTCAGAAAAATAACTCACTCTCCGACAAACACGGTAGCCAAAATACACAAATTTTTATCCCCGACTCAAGAATGCCAACTGCTTTTATCGGACAAGCATTTTTCCCATTTGTTGACAACTGGGAGAAAATATCCAATTTTTGCATATCAAAATACTTTTATAGTGACTCCTGCGAGGACTTGTTTCTAATTTTAATATTTCATCTTTAACATGTCATAAGGAATACATGCTCTTTTGTTTGGTAAGTAATTTTCTTTTTTGCCACATTTTCCGTTGTAGGATACACGCGACACGCTGTCGATTGGTTTGATGAGGTAAGTCGCCATTTTCTTTGCTATATTAAGTTAAAGTTACAGTAAAATGTTATTTTATGCAAGTTTTGTTTTTTTTTCTTTGATTTAGTGAATATTTGTTTCACACCTTTCTCATTACATATGGATTTTAACAATATTATATATATAATATTATATATATATATATAATATTATATATATAATATTATAAACAAGATCAACTAACCTCCAATATTTTTGTCTAAAAAATTTGACTTATACACAAAGATGTACATTTTCTTGCTGAGTAAAAATAAAAATAAGAGATTTGAAAACCAATCCAAAACACAAATATCAAATCAACTTGACACCAACCAATATAAAACTGATTATCCTGTAACTAGATTCTTTTATTAAAACTTGTCTGTGTTTTGGTTGCACAAATTGTTATTCAAATTAGACCTTTCACCACCATTGTTGCTTTCACTGCTACATTTTAGTTGGTTAATTCTCCTGCCATCTTCAGGGATATACAATATCCTAAGATATGTCTTTAGATTAGATATTTTAATCATTTCATCCCAAACAAGATAATAAAGCCACTAAGACGTAAGAGGTTACCGAGTGTGAGAGAATATGAAAGAAAAAATTATTAAGGAGAAAGTACAATAAAAGAACAGAAATTAAGACAGAAGATAATGATTGACATTGCATTTAAATTTTTAAAGATCAAAATTGAAGGCAAGAGGGACAGATGAAAACAATGCATAACCTACCTAGAGAGCTTGAGTAAAAGGATTTTGGAATAATGTTTAGGATTGATAACAAAATGAAAAAATTAAGAGCTACAATGGTAAGGGGGCCATGATTGCCAATGTTCTGAATAGTCATGGCACATAGAAGAAATGCAACAATTAGAGATAGAAGTATCAAAATTTAAATATCCAATTAGTCAGAAGGAATTTTCATATTTAATCTAAATGTAGACTGAACTTATTTCAAAATAATCAACAATAAATGAACCATTTGTAATCTCATAAAATCTATAGCCAGCAAACCACCATTTCCAATTCCTTTATTAACAAAACTGAAAAAGAATAAAAATGCACTTATAAAACCCAAAATGATCAGATGATGTGTGACCTTTGAATATAGCATCATCATTGCCTAAATAAACTTCATAACCCGTTTAAATTTGTCTGACTTTTATGGCAAATGCAAATAAACTTTGAGTTAATGTCAAGTGGGTCAGATTTGAGTGAAAGCATCGTGGCTCTATCAAGAGTCGAGGCTAGTCATCCATGGAAAACGGACAAAAACAAAAATTCATGCTTACTTTATTGAACTGCCAAATAAACAAACTGAACGATACCCAACATCTTACTTGTAATAATAAAAGAAAATTCAGTTTTTGGTTTTTGGTTCAGTCAAAATTCTTCCAATTGAAAACTATAAAAAACACTTCTGAAAAAGTTATAGAAATGCTTAAAATTAGAGCGTGCACACACACATTATATATAAGAAATATAGTTTTAGATATGCTATATTTATGGGATAAAGTGCTCAATATCAGAGATAGAATGTATGTCATTATAAAAGTGAACATTGAAGTCAACATTTAGAGGCTTGTTGACTTCAAATTTTATATATATATATATATATATATATATATATATATATATATATGGTAGGCCTAAAGTAGGTATACAGTTGTTTCATTATTTATAGACTGATGTGGCTTTTTATTTTTGTTGTGGAGTAAAGAGTACACCCCCAGTGACTTTATGAACTCATCCAATACTATAAAGAGTTTCCCATAATATGAGCTTAGTAGTAGTCATTAGAGTAAGGCAGCTCACTGCCAGGCAAGCAACAGACTTGTCAAAATGCTCTGCTTTCAAGCAGAGGAACCCAGATGAAGCTATACCTTCAGGCAGAATCTTGTCTGGGGAGGTAGGCAAACCTGACCCTGTGTATGTGGGATCTAAGGAAAATTTTTGCCCGAGCATGTGAGCTCGGAATTGCACCACATTAAAAATAGCCTTGTGCCATGTCCCTCCTTAAGAGGATTAGGTAAATACCAGTTGTATTAGAGTCAGTCTTCATACTACTTATACAGGTTTCTGTTCATAATTTTGAGTCATACAAATAGTACAAGACATTTGTACCAAGTTGAATTTCTTTTAATCTATGAAAGATATATATATATATATATAAAAATATAAAAAAAGGTGTGATGTGTGTGTGTGTGTATATAATGCATGGCATAATTTTTGATGGATTTGCACCAAAATTTACATGCACATGCTCCAAGTTAGTGGGAAGTCCAAGACCGATTCGCATTTCCCAACTCCCATCGATAGTAGAAATAATCGATTTTTTCATGCTTCTATGGCAGTTTTCATGTAGTTTGTGGCCATTTTCTACTGGCCAGAGTGAGAGCCTGTAGCTGGCTGCCACGAATAGGCAGGAAGATTCTATTGGCCAGCATGAGAGCCAACAGCTGATTGACACAAATGTTAACTAGCATGCAAAAAAAAAAAAAAAAAAAAAAAAATCGATAGCTGCATTCGTCACAAGTGGGAAAAATTTTAATCTGCATGGCACTTTACTCCAATTGGCTCATTCGCTTGCTTAAACTCAACGTTGATTCTGATTCCGCAAAACTGGGTTGGATGTGAAAAAGTATCTGTTAACATTCTTTTTTCATTCGGTTTTTCCAGTTACGAGTCCTTTTTTGAAGCTGATCGTTTTGTGTTCATTTTGTTTATTTTTTTTTTTTTTTCGTAACAGATTTAATGTTTAGTATAGAGCTTAGAAAAAATTTGCAGTGTGAGATAGGCATGTAGCAACATCAGCACGGCAAAGGGCACTCCTTTAAAGGCAAGGAAGGGCAAAAATATTTTTAAGTCAAGTGATAGCGATTGCTGTACGAGTTGTACAATTTTTGAATCAAGCAAGGGCAACCCCGGGCCATGCTGTCTGTTGAAATCTTGAGAAATCCAGTCTGGATCATTTTCAGGGTTGGACTCTACAACTGTTTTCTCTTT